GGGGGGTCGCAAATACACGAAGAAACCATTTGTTTTGGCTCTGACTTCATTAAATCATGGTCAGTTCTACTGTCTGTGGGAGCTGGGTACTGGGCCCTGAGGGGTTCCTCTCATAAAGACCGGAGTCAGATTCCCACATGGGGCAACTCTACATGTGTGTGAGTGTGTGTGTGTGTGTGTGTGTGTGTGTGTCTCTCTCTCTCTTTCTCTCTCTCTCTATGCATGGGTGTTTGAGTGCGTGTGCGTGTGTGTGGGAGAGGGAGTTATGACTTCCATTCTAATCGCAGGCAAACATTAAAACGTTCCCACTCACTTATTAAAATGTTTTGGAATGAGAAGTGTACTGAACGTGAGCTCTATAAACAAATCTATGAATGAGAAGTCATGACCCTACTCGAGATTTTCTTGTCCTAACTGTTAACTCGTTAATACAGTAGAGTATTGGAATGTACATCAGGATTTTCTATATTTTGTTTACTCGTGAATTTCTCTTTAATTGCCATGCCACATGTCGAATATAAATTGAGATATTAGAGTCAGAGGAAGGAAGATTTACGTTATCACATTATTGTGTATCATAAATTCTGATTCTGCGTAACAGATACGATGGACGAAAACTGAATATTAACTGTTTGTGGTTGTCGTTGCTGTTATGGTCTTTTCAACTTTTCATTGTTAACTGTTGCGTTCGTTTCACAAGAAATAATTGCAAATGAATAAATAAATAAATAAATATATAAATAAATGAGTAAATAAATAAATAATATTCTTTTTTGTAGCCCTGTATCTTCCAGTGTGTTATACCCACAGTAAAAAGAAGAAGGCAAACGAAGCAGCGGCAGATAAAGAGAAACTTGTTAGGAAAACCCGAACAGAAGGGGGATAGGGAAACCACAGGATAATGTGGAATTTCATAGAGCTTCTGGGCGGAAACATTAATGGAAATCCGTCATCACTGATACATGTCTCAGTTCTTGCACTTCAGGACTATAATCTTCCAGATGGCCCACTCGGCTTCACCATAACTCCCTCACAAGATACATAGAGTTACCGCTTGGTAGGCACATATCGTTTGTACTCACGTTAGGTTTGTTGCTTTCCTTGCCATTGTCGATAGAAAAGAGTTTTTGTTTTGCTCACAAGCATACCCGTTGAGGTACATTACTGTTTTTAAGGTTGTAAACACGCCATTGTTGTTGTTGTTGCTGTTGCTGTTGTTGTAGGTTTGAGTTGTTGTGTGTGTATTTGTAATTGGTCGCACGAGGGGGCTATCCTGAAAAATGCTGTTTTGAGAAAATTGAAGGTAAAGTATTTGCCCCTTGTTCAGTTTCTTTAAAAGACAAGGAGAGTTTTCTCTATAACCAAGCAAATATACGCACCTATGAAACCAAAATTCTCCTATAGGTAGGGCAATGCCCACTTTTGGTGTAGGTCAAGATTTCTGGAAACCCCTGAAATCTGGGTTAGCCCGCTTGTCCTTTAAAAGCGACCGTATTGTCTGGCCGACGGGTTTAGGTGACAACAAGGTCTATAATGCCACTGTTGCGCCGAACTGTGGCACAAAGAAAAGTGCTTCTCTTCAGAGTCACAGCCTCTTAAACGTGTGAGGCAGTCCAGTCTCCTTCCGTGCTCCCAAATAATTGCCGTCTCCAGCTTACGATTGATATTGTTTGTTATTATTATAATTAATGTTTTTGATGGAGATAGTAGGCTACTGTTGGTGGTGGTGGTGCAATGACGAAGGTGATTGTAGTAGTATAATTAATGGCCGTTTCTGTATTAGTTATTGTGGACAAGTTCATTTCTTTCATTTCAAGGCTTATATCTAAAAGGTTGTGTTCTGTGTTTCAGATTTACATGCCCCAGACTCGTTTGGGTATCGGAGTGGGCTCCCTGCAGGGAGGTAAAGAGTACTACCAGGCCTGCCTCAAGTGGTATCTCTCCCTAGACATGACCCCGGAGGAGGTTCACAAACTGGGGCTCCGGGAGGTAGATCGCGTCGTCAAGGAGATGAGAACTGTGAGTGTCTTCGTGGCCATGACTGTGTGTGTGTGTGTGTGTGTG